GTATATACATTTTCATCTCACGTCAATTGCGTTAAAATACAGAAAACATAGAGTCAAGTCGCGCTTAAGGTAGCTCGCTACTTTCCGACCGAAATTTGACAACATCTCAGATCTTGATGATTTTTGGTATGCAAACATATAGATATGTGAGCTTTACTTCTGCAGCATTATTTTATAAATAAACAGCGTAACTATGACGTCAAAGCGCCCTCTATCGGTGGCAGCAAAATTGCGTCTTTTTATCAGTAAACCAGTCTATTCTTATCAATTTTCATCCGATTTTCTTCGTTTTAATTTTATAATGTTCAGTAAATGTATGTCTTTGTAATGATGTCTTTCTTTAATATTTACTTAACAGTCTCTTATTCTACGTCATTTTTCTCTACGTACTGACGTCCATATTTAATGCAAATATCGCGCGATATTGCAATGAAGATTGTGTAATTAAAAAAATTCAAGACGGTGAATTTTGCTATAATGTTTCGAGCGTGTAGTGAGATAGTGGAGGAAAATAGTTATGCAATAAAAATATAGGGTCAACGCGTAAGATATTTTGCTATTACTGTTTTAAAATAAGATAAAGGGTGAGTGAAACGTAATGGTTTTGGTGTGGTGACGTTAATAGATGTTTGAGTTCAAAGAATAATAACCAAAATTTTAATAACAATTTTCTTACGTCAAACATTACGATAGTATGTATAAACAACACAGGGACTTGATGAAATGTATATTTTTTAAATTGTTGATTATTTTCTCATTGAAAGCATGCGCCAGATGAGCACATTTACAAATGCCTTTTTAAATACTTTTCTAATTTGCAGGAAACAGTCTCATATATCTTTAAATTTTAATTTTATAATTTGATGTTTGTAATGAAAGAGTGAAAATGTTATATTATTTATGAATTAAATAGTTTTCAGCGCAAAAAATAAGATTCACATATTGCTGTATGAATGAAGTAAGAATATTAGGTCGCTTAGCTTATACCCGTTAGAATATTTATTTTACGTTACATTCAACTTTTAAACACTTTCATAAAATCACATACAGGCAGACGAGCCCTCGGTGTTCAAAACACATCGTAAAAATGCAATTAAAATAGATATGCATACAAATGTGCCGAAATAAGTGATAAATAAAATTCAGAATTAATATTCAAATATGTTAAGAAAATTTAAAAACAAACTGTACAAGAAATAAAATCATTTATTTTATTTTTATTTTTGTTTACCATTTTTAAGTATGTGCAATACATAGATTATATAATTATAATCTATTTAAAATGTCATGATAATTAGAAAATGAGCACTTATGTGACAAACTATAAAACATTTTGGAAGCAAAAATCATACTGAATAAAAAAATGTATTAGCATATTCGCAACTGCAGACTCGAACACCCAATATAACCATTACTCAACTCGGATTTACGTTTACATACTTACCGCTTTTTCATTACAATATAACATAGCGGCCCTCAAAATATTATATATTTCTAAAGAGTTCCACTACATTTTACCTCTGTATAGCAAGCACTCTAGGCAACAAAGGGCATTTCTCTGTAGAGGTTATACTGTATATATTTTAATTAAACACAAAAATATAATTATTAGATAACTTGTGCAACTTTTGTTACCACTGAATACGAATAATGCATTATGTTGACGTTATCGTGTTCATTTTTTTAATACAATACAGTTTGCTTTAAAACAAAAATTAAAAAAATTAAAAAAAAAAAAAAAAAAAAGAAAAAAAACAACAACCCGAAAACACATACCAGAAACACGTGTTTATGATGTAAACAATTATTAAGGAAGATCATAATCAGGTTTTTAACTTTGAATATTCTTCTGTTGCCACGGTGTAATCGGTAAAGTGGTCTTACGCTGAATTCGGACGGCATGGATTCGAGACACGATTGCGTATTGTACTAATAAATTATCCTTTAGAATTGGTAACTGTGTATGAAATGTTTCAAGGTCCACCTCGGACTCCTGTCATTCATTTTCGAAGAGAAGAGAAGTTGATACTGCGAGAAACTGGTTTCGTTAAATTCCCTCCTTTATAATTGAAATACTGTTGAAAGCGGCGTTAAACCCAATATTAAAAATAAGAAGATATAAAACATTAAATGCTCATTATTTTCATAGGCTCTACATAGCACTGCATTATGTGCAAACAAAAATCGAGCTTCTCCCACAACCATATTCACACAAATTGAGGATCCTACATGATCGTCTTCAATACAAGGGAATCTGTATTTAATATGCAAAATTCTCAGCTTATGAACATACAAAATAAATCAACGGAACTTTCGCCTCGAATTGAGAAATGATCGCGGCTTCAGGCCGCCTCAAAGATACGCTAGTAAACGCATACCACGAGTCAGCGAGTTTAAAATAAGTAATAATATTTGTAATTATGTGAAATACGTGAGAAATTAAAACCAAAGCATGAGAACGTGATTCCTCCTTTAAATCTGAGTCTTACGCTTAGTGTACTGGTATTTAGCTGCGAGAGAAAATGGAATAACTGATGGCTGTTAATAAATAAATTTTTATACATGTAGAAAAGTTTTGAATTAAATGTCTGCTAGATTTTATAATATAATTAAGACTACCAGTGAATCATGACTTACGTACAAATCGTTGTTACTTCCAGTTGATCATACATTTTTGAAACGTAAATGTGATTCATTTCCTACTAACTGATATATACTATTCAAAATTGTTAATTCAAAATTGTTACATATGATAACACGGAAGTTTATGTAGTACCGAGATACACATAACATGATGACACTGCGACTGCACCAGCCATTTCATTCTTTTTTTTCCTGACATTCTTTGCAAAATTTATGTTTTTATTATTTCCACTTAGGTGGCATTTTAATTATATCTTTCAATATTCTGAACTCGAGGTATTTAAAACCATTCGTTGCAGTTTTTCAGAGATCGATACCAACTTTTGCAGACAGTCATACCCTGAGTTGTTGTACATGTTTATAATTGAAGTTATTCATCGAAATGCAGGCACCTGACAGGACTTTTAAAAGAACACTTTTACGGAACATGTCTAAATTCTATTGTTGTTGATGGTTTTCACACATTTTTATTCCTGTCAGTATGATATTTATCGAAAAAGTCGTGAAAATTTCCTTGAGAAAAATATTTGACGTCACCAAAATCATTACGTTTTACTCACCCTTTATTTTACATTCAAATAGTAATAGCAAAATATCTTACGCGTTGACCCTATAATTTTATTGCATAAATATTTTCTTTCATGACTTCACTACATGTTTAAAAAATTATAGCAAAATTCACCGTGTTGATTTTCTGTTATTTCACAATCTTTATTGCGATATCGCGCGATATTTGCATCATATATGGACGTAAGAACGTGGGGGAAAATAACGTAGAATCGCAGACTATTAAGCAAATGTTCAAGAAAGACATCATAACAAAGACCTTCATTTACTGAACATCATAAAATTAAAATGAAGGAAATCGGATGAAAATTGATAAGAACAGACCGTTTTATTGATAGAAAAGACGCAATTTCGCCGTCACCGATAGAGGGCGCTTTGACGTCATAGTAACGCTCTTTATTTATGAAATAATGCTGCAAAAGTAAAGCTTACATACCTACATGTCTGTATACCAAAAATCATCAAAATCTGAGATGTTGTCAAATTTCGGTCGGAAAGTAGCGAGCTACCTTAAGTATAATTGCATCAGCAGAAAAAAAATCGTTTCAATGTTGACATTTGTAAGTTTGACTATGTGATTAATAGAAAGTTATCTAGTATTACATTTTAAGATGCCCCGTACATTCAATCAAAGATGTTATATTTCCGATCCTTAAAGATCGTTCAGCACGACATTATTGGTGTGCTTGTGGCAATTTGGTTCTTTCTATTCAGCTATTTTCTTGTTGAGTGGTTCTAGTATTCCTAACTTGAATACTGTTGAATCACCTTAGGATATGTGGCCTGCTTTTTAAATTTGTTATTTGACGTATTATCTGTGATATGCAGGCTTCATAACCTCTTATCCCCTTTCAAAATTCCATTTCATTTAGTTCCGCCCATTGTTTTCTCGTTTACGGCACACGCATATTTTTACTTGGGGACCATATGCCGCTTTTCATGGAATGGCACTTACGTGTCACATAGAAGGTTCCATGATAACCGCCATATGAACACATCTGCGGATGTTTCAAAATTGTACTAGTTCATGTTAAATTCTGCTTAAGCCGGTGCTAGGGGGCGTGGAAGGTAATTTGCACCACGAACAGGCTCTAATCAAACCGAGCCTGCAACATTTTTAATATTGCCGTGTTGGTCTTTTTTAAAGGATTCTTATTTTCTCTATTTTATCGCCACATTTTGCTTTATTGTATTTCTGATGATACTGTCTTGCGTACATTAGGATTGCTGTTTCGTGAAAATTCGGATTCGGCCCGATTTACGAATGTAATTAAAGCCTTGATTTGACTATGATATGCATGTATTCGTTTAGTTTCATTGCTTAATTAATTGAACTCATTGGATAAAATCATGTATCCAGTTTTATTCGAATCGGTAATTGAATTCAGTTTTAAACCTTCACTCATTCAATATCATTCATGTAATGTATGGAACACAAAGTTTTGACGGTTTAAAGAATCGTCGACTGAATATTCCCCTATAGTTTACAGTTATTTCCCTTTAACTATATTGCTATATTTTCCTTTCTTTCATTTTCTATTTTACATTTTGCATAAACCACACATATATAGCTTTTGGCATAATTAATGCAATATTGAATTAGGTCTGAATGTCTTAATCTTGCCATGTTTATACCGTTATTTCAAGCCCAAAGTTCAAGCATTTGATGAAATTTCTTCATAGATAAATGATACTTATTTGACTTTTTGTCTTCATATTTTTGTTTCTTATGTAGAGGATTACTTATTCTAATTAAGTGAAAAATATTTTTTAACCAAGAAACGTTTCATTTTTAATCTTTATTTCATTCATAGCTTATATATCAACAAATGTAAAAAAAATATCAGCAACAATTGATCCATGAACAGACAACAAATAACAATTAATACTACAGCACATCTATTAGAAGTTCCTTGTAACATAGTGCATTCATACATGTGTCTCCTCAAGTCTTGCAATGTGGCGTCTGTCCAACACGGAATATATCTGAAAAGTATAAACATGAAAATATAAACAACGAGTAGACAAATATTTGTATATTATGCGACAATATAAATATTTTATGCAGATATGCCCAGATAAAATCAATTCAGTTAAACTGTTGCCTGTCAAATGAATTTGGAAAACCTTTTTTTGGACAGTTATTTACAAGTCAATAAAATTACCTTATCAAATAGTATTTTTGTAGCTTTGTGCTGACTGTAACATCTTGTAGAAAAGAGAAGTTTCTCAGCTCTTCCGACCTTTATACATCGTTCGACAAAATCTAAACACGCATTGCATAGATCTCGAAGCTCAAACTGGGAGGCAGCACAATACAAACCTGAAAACACAAGAAAAAATATCATATGAGTTTAAAGCATAAATACATTATCAGTATGGCCATTCAAAAGTAATACATCCGATATTATCAGGTGATTTTTGTTACATACGTTTTCAGTAAACTCCTTTTTTTAAATTATAAATTTTGTAATGTGATTAGATAATTATATTTACCAGCAACGGTTTCCTCAGTGATATTCACACTTCCGCAGTGAATAAACTGTACCAACATTCGGAACACTTCAGAATCGTATTTCTTGACAGGGATAATAAGTCTCTGTGATAATGACCGACCAATTCCAACTGTTGCATTTTTCTTACTTTTCTTGTTCTTTTTTAAGTTTTTTTCTTGATCAGCTGCTTCCATGGACATGTGTTTCAAAATCAGTTGATACATAATTCTGAAATAAAAAGTAATGTATGAATAAATATGTAATGGGGCGATTGAGGTACTTTATTACTTTCGAGTGAACAGATCACAAAATACAAAAATGTATTCAGCCAAATAAAATTAAGATTCTTACCTACTCCGTGTACCCATGATGGCACGAACACCATGCACGAGCACTTCACGTGGTCCAACTATAAACGTGACGTCACACATTTCAGGCATTGCCAGAATTAATTTTAGGTGCTCGGAAAGCGCATGTGTACTACTGAAGTTCATTACTTCTTCGTGGGTGGTGTCATATGATCTGCTGTCAAGACTGTCACGTGACCCCCAAGAACTCACTGATTCCACATCAGAAATGTCTGTAGATTCATAGCCTGACGAAGAATCTGAAAACATAAAATGCACATAATTATATTCATTATAAATAATTCAAGTTACAAGTAAAAGTTTAAGCTCGTAGACATTTGTTAATTTCGTTAAAACAAATAAATCAATCACTGAAGAGTAAATCATTCTTAAATATTACCATCATAGTCGAAATCAATAGCTTTATTTTCAAACAAGTCATCATTTCCAGTGGGATCCATTAATGGAAGAGTTGCATATGAACAATTCATGTTAATTTATTACTGAGATACTGAATTTATACGCTTAAATTGGTAAATGAATGAAAATAATAAGATTTTTGTCTATATATACAGGCATCAAAATGTTAAAGCTTTCCTTGATTACATTTTACTCTTGACTTGTGACATAGTGAATCTTGTCACTTAATGATGCCCTTAACTTAATAGTAATCACAGTAGTTTGTGTTTGAATCTGGCGTGAAAAAGGTGTGAAAAATATCTAGCAAACCTAACTAATAAGTTTAAAGCAAACAAATAAGAGAGTGTATTTTTCACAAGTCATTTTTTGACAGTAAGCATTTTCTAAATGCATTTGGTATAGAAATTAAATTCAAACACATGTACATTTTGTGTTTTCTTGTCATTTCCAATTATGTTTTTCATATTCAATTGATTTTTTTCTACAAATGTTGTTATAAATAGGTTGTTGTTATTGCATAAATCAAGAATTTATTGTCGGGAGCATACACATACAGTATAAGGATTTTGTTTTTGTTGCCTTTTGTATATAAGTACATTTGGCGGTATATTTATGAAAGAGTTTTTTGTTTGATAAGAATATAGTCATTCGTTATTTCCAAATTCTCTACGCTCGAACGAAAATTATTTATCTTATAATAAAGGTAATCCGAGGAAGAAAGAACATCAATTACACAACTGCATTGCCGTATATCTACATTGCTAATACAGTTTCTATGAAACTGAACCAAAGTTGTGTATACATGTCAATTACATATCTCAACGTTTCACAAATTGGATAATCCAAAATGGCTTTCACGACTTTACAAAATTGCGAATCTTACGATGTCTTCCTTACACTTGCCGAAATTAGGATTGTTGTTGCGTGAAATTGGAATTCTGTTCTGATTATTATGTTCTTCATGTATTGTTTCATTTTATATTTCGTTGCTTAAAAAGTTATAATTTTTTATTTTTTTTTATTTTTACTGTATATGTATTGGAGTTCTACATTTTGATTCCAAATTGGGTATACATGTATATAATCATGTAAGCTTGAAGGAGGCGCACACACATTTGATAAAGAACCTTAACCATCTTACAAGTTTTGTGAGGATTCATATATTGATTAACAATGAGCTGTAAAGATTTTTGAAATGTTTGATAACATTTGATGAAGACCATCTGATAATCAAATGCCGCTTTTGTTATTGCACGGTTGTGTATATATTTTGTTCTGATGAAAATGTTTACCTTAAATACAGTAATTACAGAGTAAAATCGCGCATATGTAAGCGTTATAGTAAAAGTGCCTCAGCAGAAGAAAAAACAACAACATATTTTCATTGTCAACAACAGTTGTAAGTTTGACTACATGTCTGTGATTAATAGAAAGTAAAGCATGTATTCGTTTAGTTCCATCACTCCTTAGATTAAATAATATTTTCTCGTATATTTTATATCCAATTGTATTCGAATCGTTAATTGAATTAAGTTTTAAACTTACACTCATTAAGTATCCTTCATGCTATGTATGTTGGCGCTATAAAAGATACAGCAAAGCTTTGACGTTTCCAATCATCGTCAACTAAATAAAGTCAAAACGAATATTCTCGTATAGTTTACACTTATTTCCCTTTGACTGACGCGAATGAACCCTTTATTCTTTTATTTTTCTCCTGTTTTGCATCAACTACACATTTGTAGCTTTTTGAAATATAAGACATTTGTTTGAAATCAAACAATTTGCAAAAAAAAAACAACAACAAAAACCATAAAGAACGCCCAAATCGGCAAAATCCAAAATGCTGTGGGCTCATTTTGATAAGAGTTTGGCCATTGACAATAGTTGTAAATACAAGTAACCGCATTTCCTAGCACTAGCTTAAGCAGAAGTCGACACTTTGTTGTAAAAATGGCGAAATTTTGAATGCAGAAACAGAGTACGTGTTTGAAAGTCTAGCATCGTCAAATAGTTTACAGTTATTTTCCCTTTAATTGTCGATTTTAAGGTTCAGTTAGCCTGGGTTCCAGTCTGTCGATTTTATGTGTTTCTGTTCGGCAAATCGACACTATCAAACCCGGTGATGCTGTGTTATCTATGACGATTGATATATATGAAATAACATGTATGTTAAGAATAAACAAAACATATCAACGCCTGAATCCAAGGCTAATGTTTAGTGACCAATCTTAGGAAGCTGACTTTCAAAACACAAGTTGCAAATGTGTCAAAATCGGATAAAACTGTAATATGATTTTTACGCGATATATCGAAGGTTGTTTCTCGATAATGAATTTGTTAAAAAATGAATACTGCCAAAGCCAGTGCTAGGAGGCGCGAGAGCTGATGCACCATTCATTATCTTTCATTAACAGATTCAATCAAACTGAAACTGCAGATATCCACTTTTAAACATTGTTTCGTTGCGCTTGGGAACTTCCCTTTTTCTAGAATCTTTTACCAGCAATTGCTCGATTTAGCTTTGCCAAACGAATCAATCAATCAAGGGTGAAAAAAATCAAATAACCTTTAAATTAAGTTCATAGGAACCTTCGTATCAATATTTTCACCAAAACTTATTATCTTCAAAATTTAGCCTACATTTCCTCTCACTGTTTGGTGATCGTTGTTGACAGGATTTTTTCTTTCTTTCTCCCAATACTCTTTATGTATGTGCGATAGGATTAGCTGTCTACCTCACATGGCTCAAAAATATTCCAAAAGACACTAAATGGGGGATGGTCAGTTTTAAGTATTTTTAGGGGGAGGGGGGGGAGGGGGCATTTTGTTTCAATATGTGCCATTAGTGTAATTGCACCGTAATAATACAAGTCATGCAAAACTTTGTCATTTTAAAACGCATTTCTGTCAAATTAAATCAAATTGCAAGATACTCTCTATCACATTTATAATCTAACCAAGATTATATTGTTAGTTATAAAGATTTTTTTTGACACCCTATATGTCCCTATAAAAATGGTGGTTTGAATATAGGGTTATATTGCAAACAACCATTTTTATATGGTCATATAACCTGTCAGGAATATTTATAACAAATTTGTATTGCAGCATTGTATTTTGAAGATGAAAAAAATATTTCTTCATAAATTGACAGCTGCCATGTATTTAAACCTTGATAAACGTCACGATTATCCAATACAAAGCAATATTACAGTAATGCAGTATTGTATAAAACACTTGATTTGTACAGATGAAATTTTCCCAAATGTGAAAATATATTGAAGTTGTAATTAATGCTGCTTTAAATATACATGTAGTCTTCATGAACGACCATTTCATAAAATGAAACAATCTGTTAGCATACATAAAACAAAAACTCATTTTTATTGACATTTCATTTATTTTCTATTTTACCATATTAAAACCACACATGGTGATCTGCACAGCAAAACAGGAGTAAAATAGTTATCTTATAATACAAAATATGAATGGAAATATACTTATTTCAAAATGTCATATCAAAATAATAATTATAATTATATATTGCACCAAATTTATTGCACATTAAGATTTTTGTCTTTCTTTCACTGTCCTCAGCATATAATTATACATGATTCCAATCCATTTTTACTGACAGTCATTTTAGGTACACAAGAAATCAACTTTTCATATTTCCCTCTAATTTCAAAAATAACAATTGTTCCCTTTTTTCTTCTCATTATTATAATGTCACTTGGAATCTTCCTCCAGTGTAAATATCTTGTTACCATGGTGATCAATCATCATTCAAGACTGGAAAATATAACAGAATTTCAAATAAAAATACAAGAAGTATGAATCACAGAAGCACATTTTTATTCATTTTTACCAAGTATCTGTATTGTTAAAACAATTCAAATATACATAAACTCTAATTGGCATTTCAAAACATCATAATTTCTCAAAAATGTTTGGTATCTTGTTATTGATTCAATACTCATTTACTATATGCATGAAGTATCTTTTGCATCTTAAATTATGTTGGCAATTAATACAATAATTATTATAGTGAATTAGTATTATGTATGGAAGTCAAAATACTACTTTATTTATTTTTGGTACTTTCAGACACATATCTGTATGTTCAGAGTTGTAAAACATCTAACATGCACTTATTCCATTATTTAAACAATATTAATTAAATACATGTTCAATATTTCTGAACAACTAAAAATATGTGGATTTCTGAGGCATATGTGCCTAGTTAAACAATATCTTGATAACTGAAGATAATATTTTTCTTCTTACCTTCTTATCATTTATTGTACAATAAAGTGATGTCTGACAGGTATGGAGTGAATATTATACATCATGAGGAGTGAACAGCTTCTCTATATCACATTTTATATCATTACCCAGTTCTTAACAACTGAAATACAAGATCATATCACAATAAGGTTACATGTTTAATTGGCACAATAATTACATTGAAAATAATCAACTTATCATTACCGTTTTTCATTAATAGAGCATTCTCAGTAGCTAAGAATGCTTCAAACAGTTCCTAAAATGTTCCCTTCTTTTCAGCTTTCAAAGAAAAAGCTTAAATGAAACTCCAAATGCAGAATTATTGAAGGAATAAGTTCAATTCAACTATCATCAATAAACTTATAAATCGACAGCAGCCGTGTATATTATTAGTCATAAAGATTGTTGACAGGTTATATGGCCGTATATAAACGGCTGTTTGTAAATATGACCCGAGCAGCTAGGCAGTTCAGTATTATAAATCAAAGGGCTGCGATTTTCTGATCTTTGCAATCTAAATCGTACTGTATATCTGTATGTGTTTTCCTGTATAAGTTTATTTTTATGTACTATAAGTCATCTTGCAGGGCACCAAAGTTTGATACATACGGAATTTTGCATAACTAGAGTTGCATCAAAAATAATTTATGTTCATTTTTTATGATAGCCACACTTTATCCTTGCATATCGTGGCTATTTCCTTAACAAAGACATTAAAAAAAAAGAATTAAAAAAATGTTGACCCGACAGGGATTTGAACTCCAGACCTCTCACATACCAAACGAGCGCGTTACCCCTGCACCACGGAGAAGTTTTAAAATCAAAAGCTGAATAAAAATCAAGTCATTCTAAATTTAGAATTTCCATTGCATTTCGGTTTTTTAAAGCAGCACAGGCTGAATAAAATCAAGTCATTCTTAATTTAGAATTTCCATTGCATTTCGGGTTAGGGTAATTTCGAGGTATTTTGTTCAGGGTAAACCTGTTGTTTAAAATTGAAGT